CAAGTGTTTTTGATATATATTAATTTCGGTTTTTAGGTAAGATTAAGACTCTTGACGTCTTCTAGAACCTATAGTAGAATTTTATAACATATAATTTTTTAGATTATTTTCGGGTTGCCACGATCCTATTAAAAGAGAGTTTTAACCATATTTAAAAAAGGTTAAATTAAAGTTAAAAATCCACATTTAGCCATTTAAAAGATACTCTTAAAAATCCAGCTTTAGTACTTTAGAAAATATTTCTGAAAATCCACATTTATTTCTAGAAAAGTATTTTTAAAAATCCAAGTTAAGACCCTGAAAAAATATTCAAAAAAATCCACGTTTGGTCATTGAACAGATATTCTTAAAAATCCACGTTTATTCCTTGAAAAAATGTTCTTAAAAAAATCAACGTTTAGTCCTTGAGAAAATGCTCTTAAATTTAAAAATTCTCTTGAAAAGATATCCTTGAAAAAATATTCTAAAAAACAACAACGTTTAGTCCTTGAGAAAATATTCTAAAAAACAACAACGTTTAGTCCTTGAAAAAATATGCTTAAAAATCCACGTTTAGTCCTTGAGAAAATATGCTTAAGAATCCACGTTTAGTCCTTGAGAAAATATTCTTAAGAAATCCAAGTTCAGTCCTTAAGAATTATTCTTAAAAAATCCTAGTTTTGTCCTTTAAAAAATATTCTTAAAAATCCCAAGTTCAGTCCTTAAAAATATACTCTTAAAAATCCGCGTTTATTCCTTGCAAAGATATTTTTGAAAAAATTCACGTTTAATTCTTGAATAAGCATTCTAAAAAATCCACATTTAGTTCTTGTTTAAATATTCTTTAAAAAAACACATTTAGTTCTTGAGAAACTATTCCTTAATAATCCACATTTAGTCCTTCAGAAAATATTCCTGAAAATCCACGTTTAGTTCTTAAGAAAATATTCTTAAATAATCCATGTTTTGTCCTTTAGAAAATATTCTTAAAAATTCCAAGTTCAGTCCTTTAGAAAATATCCTTTAAAAAATCCACGTTCAGTCCTTAAGAAAATATTCTTAAAAAATCTACGTTTTATGTCCTTGAGAAAATATTCAAAAACATCCACGTTTAAAGCTTTGACAGACCTTGAAAAAAATGTAGAAAATTATATATCTTTTAGTCCTTAAAAAATCGTATCAAATCCGTTTTTGTATCTCAGATAGTCCTTGAAAAAATATTCTAAAGAAATTCACATATAGACCTTGGAGTGATGTTCTTAACATATCCACACATTTTCCTTAAAAATCCACTCTTGGTCCTTAAAAAAATCGAGTTTTGTCCTAAATGTGAAAAAATAGTACCAAGAAGATCTGGTAGTCATTGATGCACTTCGATAGGTTTGAAAGCCCTTGACAAAATATTCCTAAAAATCCACGATCATAGCTGTAATTATCCATGAAAATGAAGTAATAGATCTATGTTAATAGCTCCACTATATCTTGAAATGATACTCTTAAAATCGTTTTTAAAAATTCCTGTTTATAGTTGTGAAAAATACTCTTGAAACTACCAAATCCTTTCAGAAATATTCTGAAAGATATTCTTTAAAAATATTAAAAAGATCATTATTATACCTCTATGATCCTATGAGAAAAAAATTAAAATATACATTTAAAAAATATTAAGAGTTCTCTATTTTGCCAATTTCCACCTCCAACTATATTACTCATTAAATGAAGCAACAGATTGCCCCCGAAAAGCTGTTTATTTTTTCTTTTGTTAAAATTATTTAAACAACAATTAAATCTTTTGACTACGCCACGAATTAATGCGTTAACGTAAAAATTAAACAAACAATTTGCAACAGTCAAATGAAAACATAACCGAATTTAAACAAGGTGTAAATTAATTGCTTAATAATCCGTGGCCTGAGCAAAAATAAATTCAGTTGACTTGGAAAGACAGTCGCCAATAACGACCAGAAGTATGCCCTAAACATCAGAAGCTGAATATTTCGGTTATAACAAAATGAAAATGAAATCAAATGCCTAGATGGGATACATAAAGTAAAATTATGTATCATTGTGAGTATTTTGAAAAATAAAACAAAAAACGACTAGAAGAAACGTATATTCCGGGTCTTACATTAAGAAGATTGTGTCATGTTTATGAAAGAAAATCCAGGTATTTAACGGATTCACACCCTAGATCTCTTTGGACCAAATCCCTATCAGGACATTTGGAGTCGATCCAGGAGTATCCTTCAATCTGTCCTTTCGTCCTTCTGGCTGGCCCGTGCGCACGTTAACTCTAAACTTGGTACATCCCAATATTATTAGCAAACTTAGATCGAGTTCGGAGGTGGACAATATTGATCCACTCCTTCCGGTACCACCCCCACAAAATGGAAATATTTTACTGCACAGAAAGAGAAAGGTTAATTGCAAATCCTTATATTTGTATCAGTGCTAGGTCAGACGCGAAAATGGACAATATCGATCCACTCCATCAAGTACCTCCACCACAAAGGGTCAACATTTTTATACCCTCCACCATACTATGGAGGGTGTATTAACTTTGTCATTCCGTTTGTAACTCCTCGAAATACTCATGTCAGACCCAACAAGGTATATATATTCTTGATCAGCGTAAAATTCTAAATCGATTTAGCGATATCCGTCTGTCTGTCTGTCCGTCTGTTGTAATCAAGCTATCTTTCGAATGAATTGAGATAGATGGCTAAAATTTTGCACACATGTTTATTTTTCCAGTAGGCACGTTAAGTTCGTAAATGGGCCATGTAGGTCCACGTTTTCATATAGCCCCCATATAACGGTACCTCCCTATATTCAGTATTTTGATGATTTTAGCGACATTATTCACCGGAATTGTTTCAAAATTGGTATTTGAAATTCGTTATGGGAACTACAGTCTGTGACAGAAAACTGTCTGTGCGGGTCCAGGTCTTCGTATAGGCCCCATATATCAGTACCTCAATATATTCGGTATTTTGACGATTTTAGGTACAATACCCACCGAAATTGTTTTAGATGTGGTATTTGAAGTTCGTAATGGATGATACAGCCTGTGACAGAAAATTGTCTATGCTGGTCCAGGTCTTCGCACAGCTTTAACGGCACCTCCTTATATACGATATTTTGATTATTTTAGCTACATTATTCACCGTTTGTTTCAAGTTTCGAATTTGATTATGGTAATGGCTTATGACAAACAATGCCTATGTATGTCCACGTCGAATAGACCCCAAAATAACGGCTATATTCGGTATTTTTAAAATTTTAACAGAATTTTTTAAGGATTTTATTTTTTAAAAAATTCCAAATTCGTTGCAAATGGTGGAGGGTATTAAAAGTTCGGCCCGGCCGAACTTACTGCTTTTTAACTTGTTAATAATTATAACTCTTATAAAATGTGATGCAAGAGTCCGAATGTCTCTAAATTACAAACAGCACAATGTTTTTATCAACCCAATGTCAGGTGTGAAGATGGAATATATCGGTCCACTCCTTCTGGTAGTTCCTGCACAAAGGGTCAAAATTTTGAATCTTCATGAAGCTCATAAAACTCGAAATTAACATCCGATTCCATTCAGAATTGGTACTTCTCAAAATTTTTATTAGCTCAAGATATGTTTATAAGAGGATAGAAATCAGACCATTTCTTCTTCTGGTATCTCCCCTACAAATGCTTCAAGATTTTGAAAAACAAAACGCTCAAGGATTTCTAAAAATTATCACATTTCTCATATAAAGAGAAGAAAGTAACCAATATAGTCGAAACCTGACACGTCATTAGGATCAATACGAAATGGACAATATTGGTCCATTCCTTCGAAACCTACTGAATAGAGGGTCAACAATTCTAATAATTATAACACAAGTCAAATTATATATTTAAATAATCGAACATTGGCTGAGGGTATACATCTGTCGGCTAAACCGACTGATACTTTTGAACTTGTTTTACTAACTTCTAATACCCTCCACACTTTGGAAGGAACTTGAAATTTTAAAAAAAATGTCGCTGAAAATTCCCGGAAAAATGATAACCGTTGTATGGGAGATATACAAAGACGAGGACCTGCATAAGTAATTCTTTGTCATTTGCTTTAGTACCGATTCCGAACATCAAATACCAAATTTGAAACAATTCCCGTGAATAATGTCGCTAAAATCATGACAATACCGAATATCGGTAGGTACCGTTATATGGTATGTAGCATCCATATGTTGTAGCATCCATTACGAATTTCAAACTCGATATTTGAAACAGTTCCTGTGAATAATGTCGCTAAAATCATGAAAATTCCGAATCGTTGACGTCTATAGACAATTCTCTTCCAGGGGATAAAGAGCATAGAAAGAACTCCTTGTGTGGATTTTCGGACAATACATTGAAAAAGTAGCTAAAATTATCAAAATACTTCGGTTGGCCACCAGAACTCAAGCGCCGGCCATGATGATGGTGTGGGCTGCCATAACAGCCGATGGTCGCTCTCCGCTCGTATTAATCGAACGTGGCATCAGAACAATTACTGATAATAAAATTAAAAAAAATGTAAAAATGATGGCGTATGACTTTGTTGCCGTTTTTTATCTCACCCTGTATGTCCACTTTTTAGTATTTTAATGTTGCTACCACATTTTGAGAGTTGAGGCTTTTTAGTGATCACTAAATTATGATAAAACACATTTTTTTTTTCAAACCCAACAAACAATATAAAAGCTTCTTAGTGGAGCTATCGCAAATACGCTAATTAACCTATCTTAATTTTTTCCGAAATTTCTTAAAGGTACTAATTTTCTAAACATTAAACTTGATTTTTTTTTTTTGTCTCATCCTTTATTTAACAAATGTTCCTAAGGTAAGCAGGTATCTGTTTTCCACGTCCATATTTCAAACTAAAAACCAATCTCACCACACCAAAAAACAATCTCACTATACCCCTGCTGTAGGGTATAATAATGCAGACCGCAATAATCAAATAACGTTAAGCACTTTATTAATGTTGATATACCTTTCTTCAGGTTGTTAATTTATGCCGTTTGCCAGGAAATTGCGGCTGTTTTGTTGTTACGTTGCCGCGGTTCGGTTCGGTTTAGCGTAATCTTAATAATGATTCAATTTTGTTTGCGCTGTTTTTTTCTCGCTTAAATAAATATTTATCTGTGCTCTTTTTATGGGTGGTGGGGTTTTTGCTTTATGCCTCTTTGGTTTTTATTATTTTTATTATTAATATCACAATCTTTTCTGTTGCTTCAATATTTACTTAAATTAATTTTTCACGTTTGATGTCTCCCACTGTGATGCGGTGGAAATAAACATGAAGCAGCGGGTGATGTATTTTTTGTGTTTTTGTTCCTTTTTTTGTTATGGGGGAAAACTTTTGTTTTCACAACACTTAACACTTTTTTTCGGGGCCCCAACTGGAAAAGGGGGAAAGAATTTATTTCTCCATCCCTCTCTCTCTCTCTCTCCGTTTTTTATTAGAACTTTACTGACGTGTGGTATGTCAAGAGAGGGGGAGCTGTAGAGGGCGTATGATTTGTTTATTTTTTAATTTGTGTCTCTTGGGTGGGTTATTAATTTTTCACATCAACGTAATAATTTTTTATTTGAGTTCAAACAAAAAAAATCAAGCCTCCATAGGCTTGTGTGTTTGTGTATATGTATCGCTCCACGCTCACTGTGAAAATACCACTACCGGCAATTTTATTCTGACGTCGTTGGCTATCAAAACGCGTGTGTTTGTTTTTTAATTATGGGCCTCAAATATTGTTCCGACAACGGAGGCAGATTCCCCGGCTACTACAGTTGACACAGTTGTTTGAGGTTGATTTTGTTGTTCTTGTTGCTGTAATTGTTGTTCTTGATTTTGAGGCTGTTGCATTTGTTTACACTCACGTTGCAGTGACACCACTGCCGGCAATGATGCTGCAGCAGACGTTGCTGCCACTGTTGCCGCCGTCGATGTTTTACGATTCAATAAAAACACAACCACTGAAATATCAAAAAACTGAGCTGCCGTGGTCGAAATGGCCGTTGTCAAACGTTCGACATTTATCCAGTTGGGTACATTCATATATAAACACATACTGGGCGACTAAATCAGCAGTGGGTGGTCATTTGGGTGAAGGGTTTTTAATTTTTTTTTATTTTTGGAAATTCAAATCAATTTTATTAAAGAACAAAAAATGCTTTAACAAGATTTACTATATTTTCCAAATTTCCATTTTTTTTTTTAAATATTCGCCATGCCCGAAATTTCCATGGAAAAGAAAAATTATAGGCTTAAAATTTCCATTTGTCGGCAAAATTGTTGTTTGGTTTGTGGTTAGTGGATTAGTAGATTTTCACGGTTGGTTAGTAATGCACTTTAATATTTCATGCTTTTGATATTTGTTTTACGGTAAATTTGTTTACGCTTTTTTTTCTCCGCTAGCTTAGCAATGACAAATCGCTATTTCACAATATTATCACACGCATCACGCAAGGTATTAGAGCACGAGCACCACGAATTAACAACTGACTAAGTTTTCCCCACACTGGGGTATTTATAGCAAGCACACAGACTATTGTGGAAATCTCATTTAAGGCACTCTCTTAAAATTCTCTTCTTTTTTACAATTTTCTCTAAATTAGTAGCGCTATTTGTGTTGTACCGTAAATTCTCTTTATATACTCCTCACACTCTCTTCCAACTTCTCTAATATTATTAGAATACATTAGATAGAGTTACTCTCTTATTTCTCCCCTTATCAAAGACAATTCTCTTTTCCCTACATCCTTTGATAATAACTTGCCCATTGTTGATTGCCTTCTATCTTTGTTGTTGTCTTTGCCATAATTTAACAAGCAAACAAAACGAACACAAAGATGAGATTAAATCTTTTGTTTTAACAAATTTTCATTTCCATTCCGCAAAAAAGGCCGGATATTCTCAAAGGAAATTTAATTTCCTTTTAAAACGTATTGCCATTGCATTTCCATTATATTCTCTCGCCTTACAAATTTTCTAAAGGACAATAAGGGCAGCAATTTACAGTAAACTGCATCAGGAGATGAGATGGGGGGGCAATGTTAATTTTGTTATTTTGGTTGGAAATACCCTGAAATCGAATAGACAGACACATCAGAATTAAATTTATAATCGATTTTAAGGCAAGATTCTAAAAAGGCAAGGTGGAAGTTCGTCTGACTTAATATAAAATTTACCTACAATGACGTCAAAGACAAAATATTCTTCATCAAATTTCACTTATTTTTACATTTTCTAATTTTTATATTACTTTCGTGCATCAAATCGAAAAAAGGCCGGAGAAAATTTCCCATAAAATTAAAAAATATTTTCGGGTTTTGATTTGGGCAAATACAGATTTATATTCCTTAGTGACTTATAGTGAAATTTGATCTCGAATATTTCTGCCTTTGACATTTTTCACCAAAAAATGTCGGAAATAACATCAAATTTTAGAATAAGTTTAGATATGTTGGAATTGGTCACCTTTGGCACGAATTATGGCCTTCAAACGGCCAATGATACCGTCACACGCTGCCTGAATGTTGCTCTGCGGTATTTTGGCTCATTCCCGGCGAAGCGCTTGCTTGAGGTGATCGATACTTTGGTATTTTTTAGAGCCAACCTTGCTTTTCAAAATACCACAGACACAACGGATTGGTAACGGAGATTTTGGTGGCATTTGGAAATGAAGCGAGGAACCTCATTTTGTAACCATTCATGGGTGGCGCGTGCTGAATGCAATGGTGCTGAGTCCTGTTGTAATGTCCAAGTTCTGCGGCCAAAATGCTTGCATGCCCAAGCCTTTAATACACCCTCCAGAATATTTTCGCTAATATTCGGCATTTATTCTTATGCCACGGTCGCTTAATACGACCGGAGAACGACCATCGGCTGTTATGTCGGCCCACACCATCACCATGGACGGCGCTTGAGTTCTGGTGGCCAACCTAAGGTGCACATTTTCAGCTGACCTCTTTGGCAAGTAAACGTGATCATTTTGTTTGTTTACAAATCGCTGGACAACGAATGTTTTCTCATCGGATAAAACCAAATTCGGCAGTTCACCACTTTTGGCAAAGCGGAGCAACTTTTTAGCTCTTTTGCGTCTATTTTCTTTCTGTTGCGGTGTAAGTTCCTGCACTTTTTGGAATTTCAATGGCTCTACCCCCACCTCATTTTTTAAATATTTGCCGAATGGAATATTGCGATATGTTCAGCTCACGAGCCAATTTTCGGCCACTGCGAAGCGGGTTTTGATCAAGTCACATCTTTACTTTTCGAACCATTTCTGCTGATGTTGCTGTTATCTTCCGTCCACCTCCGTGACGTCGGGCTACGCTACCAGTATCTCGGTAACGAGCGGTGGTACAAGACACATTTAAATGCTGGAGTGCTCTACTTGTGGTTTCCCAGCCAAATATGAAGAAATCACACTATTACGCTTGAACTCCATAATGAATAACATTTTTTCTGGAAAATTCTCACCAAAATGCTTTTGTACGCTTGCACACAGACTGAAATCGGTCGGATATGCCAAAATTCATGTCATTTGGCAATTTGGTGCACAATTAACACGAAATCAGTTGAAGATATATATGGGAGCTATAACCAAATCTGATCCAATCTCGATAAAATTTAGCAGAGACATTTTCGGGCTGTATCTTGTTGTCGAATGTATATTACGAGTGTAAGGGACTTAAACACCAAATCGGCTGAAACATATATATGGGAGCTATAGTTATATCTAAACCTATTTTCTCCAAATTTAATGTACTTGTTTCTAGGCTGAATTCGGTCGGAAGAGCCAAAATTTACTCAATGTGGGCTGATATTAACCATTTGGTGCACATTTAACCCAATATATATATATATATATATATATGAATATATATATATATATATATATATATTGGGTTAAATGTGCACCAAATGGTTAATATCAGCCCACATTGAGTAAATTTTGGCTCTTCCGACCGAATTCAGCCTAGAAACAAGTACATTAAATTTGGAGAAAATAGGTTTAGATATAACTATAGCTCCCATATATATGTTTCAGCCGATTTGGTGTTTAAGTCCCTTACACTCGTAATATACATTCGTACGTATATGCCAAAATTCATGTCATTTGGAATGATATTGGTTATTTGGTTCACAATTAACCCGAAATCGGTTGAAGATATATATGGGAGCTATATCCAGATATGAATCGATTCTCACCAATTTCAATAGTGTTCATCCATGGGTCAATCAAATATTGTTTGGAAAATTTCATCTCAATCTGCATTTTTTTACAAAAGTACATGGGCAGACGGTTTTACATGCATAAATCGACTCAGAAATTTATTCTATAAAGATCCTCACAAGTAAATATAGGTCTATCTCGGTTCCTTCTCCATATTACAAACAAATGCACAAAGGCATAATACCCTTACCACTATGTGGTGTAGGGTATGACAAGAACGTGTTACATGTCCCTTCATTTTCAATGTATAGACACAGTAAATAATATTTTGATTTTTCTTTATTACCTATTTAGTTTTCATATATAATATTAGGAAAATTATGAAAATTTTTTTTTCAAATATTCTAACAAAGAACTGAATTGAAGAATTATAAGGAAGTATGATATGATAAGTAAAGTGGATTTTATCACAGGTACTGCAATATAGTTTAATCATATAGAATATTATAAATGGAATCTTACAATTCTAGGACTCAAGATATAACCTGGTTGAAATTTTTCGAAATGCGAAAAATGTAAAATCTTTATTTTGGACATTGTCTTTCATATTTAAAATGTTTTTTGATCTAGAAACTCTCTTCGAAAATCAAATCACAATGCTCTATACAAGACTTGAAATCTAAAGTTTCGTCCTTTTTATAACATTTTTATATGTAAAAAAAACAAAATTTGATAGGAAGAACCTCTGTAATAAAGTCATTTACAAGACACCTTTTATCGAAACATTATATCATTTTCAAATACACTATCTTCCCTACAACAGCTCTTTCGTTCGTATTATTTTTCTCTTGATGAATAAATCTCTTTAACATATATTTCCCATTCGTTTTCTCTTATGTTCACATGAAGACATGCGCCATGTGCCCCATCCAGT